GTAGATATCACCATCCTCAGCTAAACGGGCAATTTGCTCCTCCTCATCCCCTCCAAGTTCGTATCTGAAGTTCAAATAATCAATTAGTTCTACAAACTGATATTGTAGGATACCAAAAAGGAAAATACATTATCAGCAAATTTTAGCATTATTTTTCTGTTGGGAATATTTTCCTCTTACTTCCCCACCAATTCAAAAGAAGGAAGAAATTCTGATAGGAGTTTATTATTCTCCCAATCAAGGCAACATAGAATGGAGCTTGACTGTTGCTCTCTATTAGAAAGTCTTTTCACTAACATTCAAAATTTTATAGGTAGCATCAGATCGTGGCCTCATACACATCACATCAGGCTATATACAAGAATAACTCTGTTGGTCTGTAAAAAGTATAAGGGTGTCGTGTGTAGATAATATCTCCTACTTCCAATAGTCAAGATAGGATGATTAAATGTAATGGTGAAGATATTTAATAACCCCTCAAGCAACAGTAAGCTAGGGAACAGAAAAATATAGCATAAACGCCTTACTCTTCATATTTTTTCTTGAAATGAGAGACAGACATGGCCTCTAGGTACGTGTCTGCAATTAGGCCAGCTCGCATCGCCCTAAATCCAGTGTATGGGATTGGAAGAAATATCCCTGATAGCTCAACAATATCTCCAGGAGATACCTGCAGTATAAAGAAAAACAAGCCTTGCTCTAAATTAAAGAAAAAGATGACTAGTAATAATAAACTATTCTTTTACAATAATTGAGCTTTAGTAAAAGTAGGTCCTGATTTCAATATCTATAAGATCTACATGGCTTTAATAAGTACTTCCAGTAAGGATAGATTGCAAAGGATAGTCTATATCTTAAAATTTCTTTGAAACATGAGCATTTTTATATATACTTAAATTATATCTAGCTCCAGTTAGTAAAAGTAGGTCCTGATTTCAATATCTATAAGATCTAAATGGCTTTACTAAGTACTTCCAGTAAGGATAGATTGCAAAGGATAGTCTATATCTTAAAATTTCTTTGAAACATGAGCATTTTTATATATACTTAAATTATATCTAGCTCCAGTTTGTATAAACTTAAAAAATTAAAAATATATCATTGCGCTAAGTTTGCACAAATGACCAAGTACATTTGGCCTCTATATATAAGTCAAGGAAACATATAACAAATTATATTTTACAAACTACTCAAGAACTTGAACCAGGCTTCCTGCCCTGCAATGTCAGCATGCAGAAGACAGGTTCTAAAAAATCTGAAAGATGAAAAATATCACTGACCTTCCTTGTGAGCTCCCCCCTGAAATGAACAGTCATCGTTCGAGGAATGTGACCTTTAGGAACATGCTCAGCCAGTTCTTGAACTTTGGCCTGAAAACAAGTTTAATCACTTCACCACAGAAACATTTGATTATATCATCATAAAAGAACCATTGAGATATTGCAAACCTCCTGAAACTTCAAAAATTTAGATGCTCTGAGTTGGGGATTAAGGTTCCCTTTGGCATGATTCAGTTTGCACTGTTCAGATGGGCAATCAAAAAGTGGCATGTACACTCGAGCAGTTACTTCCTATATCAAATGTAACAGCGGGTAGGGTTATCTGTAAGCACATTTGAGCTCGCTAAAAATCAAAGTCAAGCAGAGGGCGGTGTATTGTACCTGATAGATCTCAAATCCACACGTTTCACATGTATAGACAGCCACCTGCATTAGCGGTTTAACATCTGAGCAACGTGTCACAATGCCCGATATCCTCACAAGGTGCCCAATATACGAAGCCTTGACCTCCCTAATTGTGAAAGGCCGCCCTTTTGAAGATGCTTTGATATAAACTTCACTGTTCAAACATATGCACATTGTTAATGTCGCTTCTCTTTCCTCACAAGATTCATAGGAATATGGCTTTCCTCTGTCTACTCCCACCGTGCTCTTTTAACATTTTTCGAAAATATTTGCTGTTTCTAGTTCTTAAAACAGCATTGGAAATCTCACAACCGACACACAATTTCTAGTCAAATTTTATGATGTTGTTAAGTAGAGAACTGCAAATTATAAATATTGCTAGCAGCTAACTAGAACTTCAGATAATGGACAAGATCAGTTATTCTGATTACGAAACATCACTCAGTTGAACAACAGAACTTAAAGCCCCTGTCATGAATCTTACTAGTATCTCTTGATCTCGGAAGGCATCCTCTTTTGTGGATCAGAGCCACCAGAACTCTCGGTCGCTTCCTCAGCCCTCTGGGTCATCAAAATATCATGGTCGTCATCCAGAAGAACCTCTGTTGGCTGAGGCAGTACTTCATCAATTGCCTCCGAAAATACGCCAATGTAACGCCGAGCATTTTCGGTGACACGCCTCAAGAATTCATCATCCACGTCCTTGTACTTTTTTTTTAACGAAAAATGTTAAAAGGTGAAAAAAGGTAAATAGAGTAACCTAAATCAGAGCATTTTCTTCACCACAACAATTCAAGACACGGATGAACTAAAAGTTGATGAGATTATTACATTGATTAAGTCTTCGAGCTCGATCTGGACGGCCTTAGTCTTTCTATTCGCTACATCTTGCTGTAAACATAAAATGAAATAACATTAAGCAATAAACCACCAGATAAATCCTTATATATCGTCCGACGACGGAGGTTCGAGAGATAAATTAGGGCATCTTACAAGGATATTCATATATTTGGACTCGCCGTTCGGATCCGCAAAATTTGTGAGGAAATCCCTCGCGATTTCTGGATCAAGCAAAAATCGAGAATTGCCGAGTGAAGTGAATATGAAGAATTGTTCATTTACGCAGAGGTTAGAGTGTAATTTGCGGCTTACCTTTGTCCTGATTGAAGTCGAGGTCATTCATATCTTCGCCGGCAGCTTTTTCCGGTAGCTCGATTGTTAGTGAGAGAGAGAGAGAGGGAGACGAGATCGGAGTGGCAACGTTGGAGAACGGCGGGAAAATGAGATGTAGGGCTGAGTAATAGTCGAGGTTTTGGCGGGAAAAAAGGTATAAGGCAACAAATTGCAGTCCGGGCCGTTAGTAACAAATCCCTAGCTATATACATATTATGGAGTTTAAGGGTTTTGTTTATGAAATAATTTGTTCAATGAGTTATTTTTTTTAATCATAGTTAATTTTGAAAAAAGTTATATAGTTAATTATTAGTGAAAAGTTAAGAATGTATTAAAATAATATTTAAAATAAAATGATTAAAACTGATGTGATGTAAAAATAAGAGATAAATGATTGGAAATGATAGGTAGTTAAAATAATGTGAGTTGATAAATAGTGAATTAAAGTTGACTTAGTGGGTAACCCGTGCGATGCACGGACTGTATTTATTTTAGAGAATATTATAAAAGAGTTATAATATTAAAGCATTTGTCAAATCATAAAATGTTCGTAATGAAAAATTTATATATTATTAAAATTTTCTTATATACAACATTATGAGTTTGATACTTTACAACTCGTCGTCTCCACAAAGTAATATTTTCAACCACTTTCTAGTACATACACGCAAAACAACAACATATAATTGGTTGTGACTGAAAATCGATTTCTTTATGAGAAGGTCAACGTGCGATAAAAGCAGTCTCTAACTCTTGTTTATAGTCGGGGCATACGAAATCATAAGTTGGAACTGCTACCTCTGAAACTTAAATGGAACTCTAAGATCAGAAGGATTTACTTATGTCTGATAATTTACTTGGCGGTTCAACAAATGAGTTGTCAATTTGTCATTTTAATATTGATTATACTTGATTAGCGAAATGAGTATTTACTAATATTTTTATTTTTATTATCACTAAACTCTTAAAACATGAGAGATAATTACTTATTAATACATTTTATTTTACTAATATACATTTATATTTTATTGTTTGAATAATTTGAGACAAATTCTTATTTTAAATAATTGTTAAATAGTAAATTTTATTTCATTTTATATGTGCAATTAAATAATAAACTTAATAATACTTTAAAAATATATTTTTTTATTTACGCATACAATATGAGAGTCGAGTCAAAGCTTGTAAAATAAAAATTAATTTAATATTAAGTACAAAATAAATAATATACAAAAAGGTTGTCTTGTTTTTAATAAAGCAATGGAATTGATACTTAATAAAAAAACTTAACGATATGAAAACTAAAAAAGAAATAAATCAAAGTTTGAAAATTTCTTAATCTAGGTGTTTTAAGAAATATTTCATTTTCACACACACACACACACACACACACACACATATATATATATATATATATACATACATACATATACACTTCTACTTATCATTTCAGTGATTAACATATAACCATATCCGTTAATTTATATTTTACAAACTAAATATAATTATAGATCAAGGAGAAATGGAATAATTGCTAGTAAGTTTTTGCTAACTTTAATTTCAAATTATTGATATTACATCACTTAAAAAAATAGATTAGATAGAAATAAAGTAATTAATTAAAAGGTTTTAAAAGTTTAATCATTAAATTTACATCAATTATTGATTTCACGTTACCTAAAATAAAAATAAAAAGTTTACAACGGATGGTAAAAAAATTACTAAGAGGGAACAAAACAAATGCAATATATATATATATATATATTTATTAAATATTTTTTATTATTAAATTTGTTAGTGTAAAATTGGAAAAGAAAAGGTCATAAGACACACAAATGGTAAAAAAAACGTTTAACATTGTAAACTGGAAAAAAATTAGAAATGTGATAACACTGAAAACTCATGCATTGATTCTACTTATAAACTTTCAAAGAAATCGGGAATATTTGATTCTCACTGTTTTTATGTAGACATAGATTGAAAAAACCCCTAGTATTTTTAAGAAAATCTTTCAAGGAAATCAGAAAATTTGATTTATAGTAATTTTGAAATATTTTTTTATAAAATGCACACTTAAAGAAATTCAGCTAAGATTTGAATCCAAAATTAACTACCCTGCATTTTAGGTAATTAAAAAAATAAAATAAAAAGTTGCTATTTTTAGACTGCATAAATGTTGGCGTTTTTTTTTTTTT